TCCGCGTCGGCTCCCGCACCCCGGCCGCTGGCCCCGCGACACTAGTCCGGAGTCGGATTACAACCCGCAATTAACATATGAATTCAACGAACCTGAAGACAGGAGGCGGGGGGAAGCGGGGCGGGGGCAGACCCAGAACAGGCGCCCGGGTCCTTCGGGCGCAGGAACTTTTCTCCGGGTGTAAAAACTCTTTGATTGGCTGCTCGCACGCGCCTGCCCGCGCCCTCCATTGGCTGAGCAGACACGCGACCGGCGCGAGGAGGGGGCTGGGAGAGGAGCGGGGGAGCCACTCTGGCGCGTGCCGCTTTTTAAAGGGGCGCAGCGCCTTCAGCAACCGGAGAAGCTTCGTTGCACGCGACCTGGTGTGTGATCTCAGAGTGGGTGGGGGAGGGTCGAAGAGGAAAAAAAATAAGACATTACAGTAGAGACCCGGGAAGGGTTTTTTTTTTCTTTTTGTGGAGCCGGTTTGCCAGTGCCTCCGAGCCTCCGAGCCTCCGAGCCTCTGCAGTGCAATGTCCCGCCTGCTGCACGTAGAAGAGTGGGCTGAAGTGAAGGAGTTAGGGGCCCACCATCGCCCCCCCCCGCCGCCCCACCTCCCGCAGCCGCCACAGCCACCTGCGACCCTGCAGACGAGAGAGCATCCCGCGTACCCGGCCGAGCTGTCCCTCCTGGACGGCACAGACCCACGCGCCTGGCTGGCTCCCACTTTGCAGGGCATCTGCACGGCACGCGCCGCCCAGTACTTGCTGCATTCCCCCGAGCTGGGTGCCTCCGAGGCGGCGGCGCCCCGGGAGGAGATGGACGGCCGGGGGGAGCTGGGGAGGAGAAGCGGCGGCGGCGGCGGCAGTAGCAAGAGCCCGGGCCCCGTCAAAGTGCGGGAGCAGCTGTGCAAGCTGAAAGGCGGGGTGATGGTAGATGAGCTGGGCTGCAGCCGCCAGCGCGCCCCTTCCAGCAAACAGGTGAACGGGGTCCAGAAGCAAAGGCGGCTGGCGGCCAACGCCAGGGAGCGGCGCAGGATGCACGGGCTGAACCACGCCTTCGACCAGCTGCGCAACGTTATCCCGTCCTTCAACAACGACAAAAAGCTGTCCAAGTACGAGACCCTGCAGATGGCCCAGATCTACATCAACGCCTTGTCCGAGCTGCTGCAAA